GAGCCATGACTCTGAGAACCACGCCGGGAACAACCCGGCAGCAAGCCCACCGGGCTGCCGGATGCAGGCGGCGCGCATGCGCCGTGTGAGAAGACGCGTCTGATTGACGGCCGAAAGGGCTTATGGGAAAGTGAGAGGGCGGGGTCTCGGAAAACGTTGTGGAACCCGCGATGTCCATCCTGCAGTCTTACTGAGACCGTCTGACCCGGCATCCGACAGACAGACACGAGGCCGCTCCACTAGGGTATAAACACATACTTTGGTTGCCACATCAGAATCTAGATTCTGACTTGTCCACTTCTGGGGGTCGGGGACAGGCTGCTGAGGTGTAAGTAAAATGTTTGTCAAGTTAATCAAGATGACCGCGCCTTATGAAATCTATTTTTGTTCCAGAAAGCTCAGAGCGTCTAGACATGGGAAAGAAGACCTAGAAAGACATAATAACCACCTTCGATATGTGAAGGGGTGTGTAGGTGAAAGTTAACGTCTTTGTGGGTAGCTGCGGTATGGAACTGAACAGGAAACCAGAGTTTAATAGGATGATCTTAAGAGGTTTTCCCTGCGTAATTTGAGCACGGTCGCGTGAAAGGTGCATCCAATGGTTGTAACCGATGCCAGCAGAGGGAAGTGCACATGAGGAGGCTATGAGAGCTGGCTTACCTCACAGATTTCTGTATTGATTTAACAGAGGTAAAGGTAATGCTAATAGGGGTATGCAGTGGACCCAGCCCTTCTCATGTCTCACCTTACCCAGGAAACACGCACCTTCACCACGGAAACAGCTACTCCTCTCCTTATGTCACAGATATCAACAAGGGATTCTGTCCCTAGGCCTTCAACTCTTGATCACTGATTCTCAGTAGAACTACAGATGTCTTTCCCAGTCAGCCAGGAAATTTATCCTGCTCCTTTGAATCAGACCCTTTTCCAGTGTATCGTTTCAACCGTTTGTACGTCCGAATTTGTCATACTACAATGACAAAGTTTTGTAGAAAACCATTCTAAGCCAGGTGGGAGTGGCACACACCTTTAGTCCCAACACTCAGGAGGCAGAAGAGGAGGATCTCTGTGAGTTCAAGGCCATCCTGGTGTACAGAGAGAGCGCCAGGGCAGGCTCCAAAGCTACACAGAGAAACCCTGTCTCGAACGCCCCCCTCAAAAAAAATAGAAGAAAAGAAAATCATTCTAAGCTGGGAGTGGTGTCTCACACGTGCATCCCAACATTTGGGAGTCTACATAAGGGTTATCACAATTTCCAGGCCAACCTGAACTACCTAGTGAAGTCTAGGTCAGCCTGATCTACAGAATGGGAAAGTAAATAAAGAAATTTATAAATAAATAAATAAATAAATAAATAAATAGAAATAAATAAATAAATAGAAATAAGTAAATAAATAAAGGGGGTGAGAGAAAGAAAGAAAAAAAGGAGGGAAGGAAAGAAGGAAGGAAGGAAAGAAGGAAGGAAGGAAAGGCCTTGAAAAGAAAAGCATTATAGTAGTTATGTGGTTCTTTTGTTTGTTCTCACGATCCCAAATCTGGCAATTTCATGAGCACTATCTAAAGCACTAAACTGATCCACCACTAGAGGGAGTCCCAAACCAGCAACTGAAGCCTCAGGCCCTTTATCTACAGAGGCTGCCACTAGATTTTCCCTACAGTTCACACCCTGTTGTATGAAACTTACCATAGTTTCTACATATTGTCTTATTACATTGTCAGGCTACTATATCAAAACACTATATGCTGTGCAGGTTATAGTAGGCAATAATAAATTAATTTTTTACAATTTTTAAAAAATTAAATGTGTGTGTGTGTGTGTGTGTGTGTGTGTGTGTGTGTGCGCACACGCCACAAGGACCCATGGAGCCCGGAGGCATTTGATCTCTTGGAAGTATAATTATAGGTGTCTGTATGCCACTCCATGTGGGTGTCGGAAATTGAACTCAAGTCCTCTACAAAAGTAGCAGTATGCACTCTTAACCCTGAGCCATCTCTCCAGCCCCTTCAAAGATTTTTAAAATCTTTTATTTTATGTGTATGAGTGCTTTGTCTTTGTGTATGTAAGTGTATGACTTGCATTCAGATTTTTACTTTTTGCAGTCTGGGAAAGCTTAGAAGACAAAAGATCCAGTTGCTGACTGAGTCGGGACAAGTGAGGTTCTACTTTCTAAGCCACGTATCTTTTCATCACTCTTTCCCAGGATAGTGAAAGGAAGGAAGTATCTCACTCTTTTTGTTGTGTTTTGTTTTGTTTTTTGAGACAGGGTTTCTCTGTGTAGCCCTGTCTATCCTGGAATTCTCTCTGTAGACCAGGCTGGCCTCACTTGGAGATTTGCCTAACTTTGCCTTCTGAGTGCTGAGCTGAGATTAAAGGTGTGTGCCACCACCACCTGGCTGCCCTAACTCTCTTGGGTCTCTTTTATAATGACATTCACACAGCTATTTTTTGTTGTCACATCTGGGAGGAGAGAACCATAACTGGGAACCATATTAGCTTATGGGTGTGTCTGTGGGGCATTTTCCTGATTGCTATTTGGTAGAGGAGAGCCTATTCTACTATGTGCAATGCCATCCCTCAGCCGGTGGGCTTGGACTGTGTAAGAAAGGCAGCTGAGCAAGCCAGGTAAAGCAAGCCAGTGAAGAGCAGTCCTCTATGATCTCTGCTTCCGTTCCTTTGACTCCAGCTCATTCATTTAAAAACTCTCAGCACAAATCTAAGCAGGGAGGTTTCTCTCACATCTTTACTTCAAAGTCCTCTTATCTAACCCTGAGGTCCTGTGGCACCATCTAGTTGCATTCTGTTTCCATCGCTAACCAGTTACGAAAATGGACTTGTTAGTGTCTTTCCGTTGTTGAGTCCCTCTTTTTAGTAACTTGTAGTGATCTGCTCCCTATCCCAACACTGAGTAAGATGCTAGGTGTTCAGTAACTAAATCTCTTCGTTTCTTCAATTACTAGTGAATTCACTTAGATTTGTTTGAATTTAGGAAAATGGGTTTGATGATTTTCAGAAAATCTGGTTTGGGCATTATATCCAGACATATTAGAGCTGAGAATTTCAGCCTATCTTTAATTTCCACTTTCTTTTCTTTTCTTTCTTTTTTTTAAATTTTGAGACAGGGTTTCTCTGTGTCTTTGGAGGCTGTCCTGGAACTAGCTCTTGTAGACCAGGCTGGTCTCTAACTCGCAGAGATCTGCCTGCCTCTGCCTCCCGAGTGCTGCGATTAAAGGCATGCGCCACCAACGCCTGGCTGATTTCCACTCTCTAAGGTACTAGTGCCAAGCAGAGAGAGAGAAATACTTCCTTGCTGAACTGTTATGTTTTACTGATCACAAAGATGTCTCTGGACAGTGTGAGCCTTGAGGGAAAAGAGAGAAAAAGAAGGCTTGTGACCATTTTGACTGATAATGGGAGGGTTTCTCTGAGAAGTTGATATGCTGGCTTCTGAAGTAGCAAAACAGAAGACAAAGGGAGGAAGACACAGGTTCTGAATCATCTGAAACTGAGCAGAGGGGAGACTTTCCTCAGCGTAACCACAGCGTTCCTATTATTCTGGCTGCTGAATGCCCCATTTGTCCATTGTAATGAAGGTCACTGTTTTCCTCCCACTCCCAGAACTGTGCAGGAGTGGCCATGAATGCCATGGCATTTCTCAAGATTTTATTGGCCCACTTATTTCTATGTTGTTACTCCAAGATCTTCACATCTGTAGCATTCAAGTAAACACAGTATGTTCCAGAAAGATGAAATAGTACCTGACCTGTTTCAGAACCACTGGATTGGAATCTTGGCTAATGTGCTATCTCACAGAAGAATTCACTCTTGTCCTCTCGTTCTCCTCTGTGTTCAATCTGAGCCGCTGCTAGCACTTGACTTCATTCTGTCCTGATGGAATTGTTCTTGAGAATTCTTTTAACCTCTCTAGCTAGACAGAGTTCCTATAATCTGCAAAATTATTGTGATGATGAAGTGATATACTATTGCAGTGGCAGTAATTATGATCACCCACCTTATGAGGACAATGAGACAATGTATTGAAATTTCTTTTGAAACATTAAAGCCTTATTGGCTTGTAATATGAAGCTCTAGTCAACAGTGACAACTGTGCATATACAGAGCCAGGCATAGCATTTAATGCATTTATATGTATTATCTCATTTAATCCTCCCAGTAAATTTGGGAGGCTGGAAATAATTCT